TGCCTGGTGTCGCTTCCCATTTTCATTGAGATGAAGTGCAGCAATACCGAGTCTATAACAATGAAGTAGAGAATCTAAACAACAACGAAATACATTCTAAAGGCTTTCATATACTTGTTCTTGATAGTTTTTATTATAAGGATCCAATAATTTCCAAAGAGTATACCACACAAAGGCTTAAAAAAAATTGCTAAAAGTAGATTAGGTATCAAATCAATTTTGAGAATTACCAAATGTTAACGAGAAAAAATACTGCCGTGTGACACTTCTTGAGTATTTTTCCTAACTTTACCTGACCACCTTAGCGGGGTAATAGAAGTGAGTGCTTTTTGGTGCAAAGCTGTCGACTACGCTGTGAAATACCTCCAGTCCATAGGTCTGATGCACTGGAGAAAGCTTTAGTATGTAACGTAGAAGAAATTTGCTTTCCACCACCTCTCGGAGCATTTTGTGTGGTCTAGAACCTGGTCATATGATAAAAGACAGGAAATAATACATTACAAATTCAAGCCTTCAATTTTCACTTAACCTTGTTTATATTCGAGATAATTTTGGTAGCATTCATCTGCAAAAAAAAAAGAAAGATTTAATTTTAGAGGTTAATAAAATTGAATGATAAATTAATAATAGGTTAACTTTCTATATTAGTTATAGTCAAAAATGATTATCGAAGACAACAACTATCATAACAATGATATATAATTGTAAACTAACCATCTCCGAAAAATAATACTAAAACAATACCTTCTTTCAACCACATTCTCTCTTCTGTGATAGGTCCATGATGACAGGCAACATATTTCCAGTCTTAGTCATGGTGGTTGGTCACATGTTTCGAGACAGATTTCCAGAGCCCAAGTTTCATATCAACATTGTATCCACAGAAAGCAGACACCCAGTAGCAATGGATAACATCGCTTTTTATCCAAGGGCGGATACTCTCACAATCTTTTTTTCGCTGCTGTCTCCAACGTTTTTGATGCACCTGATAATTTAAGAAAATGTAAAATCAATAATGTAAACCATTGAATTGTAGAATTGTAATCCAGAAACATTTTAGGTTTCCCACTAATACAAAAAGGAAGAAAAACCAAATAGAGATTGAGAGATAAAGATATAAATAGTCTAGTGCTCATGAAGAAAGATACTGCTTGGTAATAACTTTATACCTTCAGCAACATGCCAGACATTAAAGTAGAGGCTGATTTCAGGCCATGTGGTTAGCATATACCACTTCACCATCTGATGCCGGTCAGTAACAAGATCTTGTTCCTGGATGTTAGACTGATGAAGAAAGGTTAGGCCCACTTTTAGTCCTTCCTTCTCCATATCCATGTGGGGTAATCCCTTCACTTCATTACTCTGTTGACATATAAATAAAAACATATAGTCACTTCTACATATTCTGTAGTATTTTACAACATATTGGATTATAAATTTCTATATTCTGTGTACTTTATTTTGATATAATTTAATATAACTTAACATCCTATTAACAGCCTAATCATTTAATGTCATAAAGTGACTGTATACAATTTAAAATCAACAACAAATTAGACTGAATTTCTAAATTCTGATACGATTTGAAATAAGAATTTGATTTTTTACAGCTAACAATAACAAGGTCAATATATCATCCTAAACTATTACAGTTTTTAAACTTGACAAATAAGATTTTAACTCCATACCTGTAATAACTGTACATCCAGTATCTTCTTGATCTCCTTGTCCATCAGTGTGTAAGAACCATATTTGGCACTGTAACCTGGCGAGTCACATCCTGCATCAACACTAACGGAGAGAGTTCTTCCTTGAAAATTCTCCAGGAGTTCCTGCTGACTAAACTCCCAGGATCGAATAGCAGCTGGCACAATGTATGCTGGTTGTAAACGAGCATATGTTTAAGCAGACATCATTTGAAGATTCATATGTTTGAACAATTTTAAAGTCTTTGAAATATTATTTCCACTATAAAGAATAGCCCCTGCAACGATGAGATTTGATACTGGCATACCACGATGAGTTTTCCGATTTTCAAACATTTCTGCGTGTCCATATACACATTTCATTATAGCTGAAATAAGAGTCCCTTATAAATTTAATTAAAGTCTCACTTTTTACAGATAAAAGTTTGTGTAACTGTGTTTCTGATACCAAGAACTGTCTCTCATCTTCAGGATCAACATCATTTCTGATAACAACTGCCTCCCCAGTCTCGCCATCTTCATATAAATCACTTTCATCACAAACCATCTTATCAAAATCTTCAGGATCAAAATCTGGGTCATCATCTGGTGGTTCACTAACTTGGTCTTGAGAGGTTCTCATGGGCTGAAAATCAAGTGGATTACCATCACACTCTGAGATATCATCGTCAGTAGTACCATGAGTTGTCTCTTGTAGGACTTGCTTTATTACCCGTAAAAAATCATCAAAACAATACAGATATTATCAATAAACAATAGAAATCAAATTTTACAAAACAGAACTTCCCACAATATATTTGTATTTCAAAGAATAAGGCTTTATTTGTTTTAATCTTTTATTCTAATTATTTTGAGGGGTAGGGAGGGGGGGTACCAGTACTCTGCAGGATTATGATAACACATTATATATACATATAGAATTGCATTATAACCAACAACTTAACTTACGCTTGGTATTGAATATGACATAATGGGCATTTCAATGACACTGAATGATTATCTATAAATAGCAGGGACGTATAACAACTCGTGTGCACTGGCCCAGTACTAGTTGACCTAATGTATAACTCGTTACACTGTAAAATGTAATTGCATCATGGTTTTATTTATCATAATCAATAAGCTTCATTTTAATATCTTAGTTTTTAATTGATAGCAACTAAATGGGAAATACCACAATGTGTGAAATGTGTTCAGGGGAGTCGTATAAATGTAATACCTACATTTAATATCACTTGTACTGAAACTGTTACAGTCATATATTTTGACACACCTGCCGCCAGCCTCCTGAATCGGATGTACAGATATCAACGTGTCTGAATCTATGAGCTGGTAATTAAACTACTGTAATCTTAAACGTAATCTTCCAACCTCCTCAACACCGAGAGAGCGGTTGATTATTACGTAATAGGTAAACTATACGAGACCGTGACACAATCGCAGGGTTATGCATGTTTACAAACAGTCGATGATTTTTAATTATTACAAAAAAGTGTTTGACTATTACAACTTTAAAGCAATAATTACCTTAATATTACCGGTAAATCACAAAACTTCCAGATACATGCATTCTGTTAAGGCTAAGCTCTCTTATCTCAGCCCTCTGACGTTTAACAAACGCCCCTCGACATGGAGCGTTGACAGGTGATCTCGACCTATTTAAGTCGGAATTGCAATTGTACGTCAGGTCTACAGTAGTGAATCCACGATTTTCGTCGTCCATCGTTTGGAAAGACGAAAAAACTTATTGCAGCCGAATGTGGCACAATACGTCATCATGCTGCTCTCGGAAAAGTCATTTAATTGCTAATGATTGAGTTATCGCTCAACAATTTATATCTTATTAACGATAAAAACAACTCTATTAACCAGCGGTTGATTGATTAGTCTGTCCTGCTAGTCTGACGTTAATAATTTTAGAGCCTCCTTTTCGATCAACATATATGATAAATGTCATTTCGTGAAAAAATCGTTTTTATAACATTTTATTTTTAAAAATAATTCACCGAAACTTATATGACAATTACATCAGAAATAACATATAGTAATACTATAAAAAATACATGACTTTTTGTAAAATTTGATAGTCCTTTTTATTCGCAAATGACAAGCTATCTGAGACCAGAACTCTTCAAGACTTCGATATTGGTGACCAAGAAAGAAATAAGAAGCAGGCAGATAGTATAGGAAATGATGCAATGAGGGAAACATATCTCTTCTGGTTCCTTCAATGTCCCTTTAGCAGAAGACCTTTTCATTTTGTCGTCTCCTACAAACACACAGTAGAGAGCAACAGACCATATTCCTGTGCTTTGATATCTTCAGAAAGATGGTCTTCAATTGAAAACGAATGCCAATAATTAGTAGCCACTTCCAATATGGAGCAATATAATGTTGGTAAAAATAATAAATATATATGTATTCGTAAAAAATAAAAGAGACGGTGAAGAGACTATCAAATTACATTAAAACAGAGAATATCAACTTGTAAACAACAGTAAATCAACAGGAGTTAGGGGGATATCACCACTGCTGAAGCTTCACACTATTGATAATTTTGATGATATTTATTGAATCGTGATGTTTAACTTATCTTGTTCTAGTTAGATTGTCATTAAGTTGATATATTGGTTAATTTACATTGGCAAATAAACAACTTACAATACACATCAGTAAATTATAGGAAGTCTTATGTTACAATGCACGAAAATAATCTTAAAATTATTTCTCTTTTTCATTAATAAAGTTGAACACCTTCAAAATGACTGTGCTGTTTGACTGTAACTTCTTCATTGCTCTAATTCATGCAAAACAAAAATTCAAATAAATACACTGCACGTGATAAACGTATTGTTTATTGATGCATTAAGACAAATAACGGTGTTCAAGTGTGACTTAATTAGTAATTAGAGCACTTAATTACCGTGATCTACTTTTCAACAATGGCATATTTTTTGGTCATTTTTTCTAATGAAGGTTTTGAAATATATCATCAAATGACATTTAAGAGAAGAAAAACTAACAAAATATTTTCGTTTTATAATTATTGCAATAATTATTAATTTGATCCCCCACTCGTCCCCCCTATAACGACTGAATAGCCTTGAGCTGACCATAGATTAATGTCATGTCATTACCGCCTGACCTCAAGTTTTTAATAGACAAAAAATAAAAAGTATTCATCATGGCCACTAGAAGGCCAAAACTGGCACTCCTCCTTGTTCGAAGAAATGAGGATAAATATTAGCAACTGTATAAAAATATTTTTTTTTTTTTTACATTTTTACACTGTGTATAATGTCAACAATTCTAGATTTATATATTGTGTTTTATATTCATCTATTGCAACATAAATGTGTTAAATGTGTTTATTAATGATTAACTAAACAAACAGTGAAATAAGTAGAAATAAACAACCATTGTTCAGCTTAAATAAACCAGACATCTAAACAAGATTATGCTCTCTGTAGCCCTGGAACCATCCACAATACTCCAGGGGTTACACTCACTATCTCCCTCTACACACCTGAAACCATCCACAATACTCCAGGGGTTACACTCACTATTGCTCTCTGTACCCCTGGAACCATCCACAATACTCCAGGGGTTACACTCACTATTGCTCTCTGTACCCCTGGAACTATCCACAATACTCCAGGGGTTACACTCGCTTTCTACCTCTACACCCATGGAACCATCCACAATACTCCAGGGGTTACACTCGCTATCTCCCTCTACACCCCTGGAACCATCCACAATACTCCAGGGGTTACACTCGCTATCTCCCTCTACACCCCTGGAACCATCCACAATACTCCAGGGATTACACTCACTATTGCTATCTGTAGCCCTGGAACCATCCACAATACTCCAGGGGTTACACTCACTGTTGCTCTCTGTACCCCTGGAACCATCCACAATACTCCAGGGGTTACACTCACTATCTCCCTCTACACCCCTGGAACCATCCACAATACTCCAGGGGTTACACTCGCTATCTCCCTCTACACCCCTGGAACCATCCACAATACTCCTGGGGTTACACTCGCTATCTCCCTCTACACCCCTGGAACCATCCACAATACTCCAGGGATTACACTCACTATTGCTATCTGTACCCCTGGAACCATTCACAATACTCCAGGGGTTACACTCACTATTGCTCTCTGCACCCCTGGAATCCTCCAATAAAATCTATGCTCCAGAGGTTACAATACCTATCACTCTCTACAACCCTGGGACCATCCTCGATACTCTAGGGGTTACACTCACTATCACTCTCTACAACCCTGGGACCATCCACAATACTCCAGGGGTTACACTCACTATCACTCTCTACAACCTTGGGACCATCCTCGATACTCCAGGGGTTACACTACCTATCACTCTCTACACCCCTAGAACCATCCTATAAACTCAATACTCCCCAACAACCATCATCAGGTCTTCAGGTGTTATGCTCACCATCACTCTCTGTACCCCTAAGTTCATCCATGATACTTCAGGAGTTATTCTCATTATCGTTGGCTACACCCTTGCAATCCTCCTTGATACTTCACGGGTTATGCTTACTATTACTCTCTACACCTGTTGAACCACCCTTGATAATACAATGGTTACACTCAGTATTGCTCTTTACATCTCTTGAACATTTCACAGCAAAATTGAAGTTCCATGTGTGACACCTTGTGGATAGGATTAAATTAAATTGATCCTTTGATGCAGGGTACAAATATATGTTGTACTGGTTTTGATGTTGTGTGTCACTCCTTTGTATTCTTCAATCAGTGTTTGATTGGTCAGTTCTGTTTAATTTTTGTCCAATCAAATAACTTTGCTTAGGACTCTAATGCTCTAGGGGTGCAGAGAGTGAAATTAATGGTAACTTCTAGAGCATCAAGGATGAGTGACACAATGAACAAAATCTGGACCATTACAAACACACAAAATATTAAATTGTATCAAAGGATTTAAAAATATCTAAGTACGGAAATATATATCACAGAATGCTTGTAATAAGAAGCTTAATATATGGCAGTATGCATAGTAGTAGAATGCAAAGGAGTTTTTTTTCCAAAACATTATTGGTTAAAGAATATTAGAAATGTATCTTCCTTCAACATTGTGTAAATGTAGGTACTATAATGAAGATATATATGACAAAACATGGAGCATCAAAGGTTTAAGTGCAAGACTGATAAGAATAATATTAAAAATATATAAAAGATAAAAGGCTTTTTTTTAAATGTTTAAACAGAATCATACATCCATACATAGATCCATACATAATAGAAATTTCCTGTCTGTCAGACTTTTCTTGTTTAATCTTGGAATTCCCTTTCTTTCTGAAGGAGGGAAATGATATATAATTATAGGTCAGCAACATGTCCTTTGTTGACGCTCAAAAAAGTTGTAATCAATTAGAAAGCTAGCACCTAGTAACAGAATTTTATCCTGAAGATGGATGTCTCTCTCCAAATCTGTAAACACAAAAAGTTTGATTACAGGTATTTTGATATGATGCCCATTATCATTAACTTGACAAAGTAATGGAGAGTTCTTCAAATAAAACAAGAGTAACAACAATTTCCAAAGTATCAAATGAACATTCCGCACAAGCTAAGATTTCATAAGTTGCTTTTAAAGATAATCCTTTATTAACACTGTGTACGAAAATTCTACACCTCAAATTTACCATTTACGCAAACAAACAATATTCAATTTGCACAAATTCCTTATAGACCTAGTTAGATAAAATTCCAAACGTTCAGGTACCCTGATTGCAGCAAAACATGTTTGCTTAGTAATAAGTAAATATTTGTGAACATTATAAAATTAGCAGAAAATAAACCTAATGATGTATCAAATTGTAATCACTGTAGGGAAAGCTTTACTGACATACTTATCATTTACCCAATACGCCACATAAAATCTGAGATCCAGTGACCTTTTAGTTCCAGAAGGAGAGATATTCTAATGCTAATAATAGTTTTATAAGTCATTAGAGTTGTTAAAAGGTACAGAACATCCATTTTTTTTAAGCTGACACAGTATATCCCTTTATCAAGTTTATACATATTAGTTGTATCAATCAAGCCTAAAAAAATATTTCCAGACATGACTTACAAGATGTACAAACTCTAAAATACTGATAGTAAATAACAGATTCACCATATGGTATTATCAAGCTCACTAGGAAAGAATCCATTACTTGTAATAGAGAAATATTATTGCCAGAAGCATAATTACATTACTGTATGTTTTGAAGACCTATATGCCATCCCTAGACAGGATAATTTGACACTACATGACCAATTTCAGTTTTTTCCCTTTACAAATCTATTTTAAGAAGTATATTTTTCATTATCAAAGATTCTGGATAAATTAAAGTCCAGAGTGCTAACATGATAACTCACAGTGAAGAATGTAGTTGTTCTCAGTGCCACAACAGTCTTTCTTGTTACCACGACACGCTTTACTTATCTCCGCAACTGGTTCCTCACCAAATCGACCACCGAATATCTGTTAGAAAATAACAGGTATTAACAGAGCAAGATGAAATAAGATTATGAATTACTCACAATTTGCTTTATTACATATAATCATGCATCTCTTATGTTTATTTTGCATAGATGACATTGACCTTTGACCTACAGACATTGACATTTTGACTTGCTATATGTACAGGTGATCCTCTGCTTCCATATGTTTACACATAAACTGAGTTTCTGTACATCAGAATGGACATGTGCAAAATTTTGTAAACAAAACACTCTATATTATGGATAAATGTGAATATGACTTGTTATCTGTACCTCATGTGTCTAACCTAGAGATAAATGCCTTAGATAGGATATATACTCAACAAAAAAAGAAATGTTTCCTTGGCGAACACCTGTAAATGAGTGAAAACAAAATGACGTTTGTGCAATATTATTAAATGGTAATGTTTTACATTACAAAATCCAAGGGGGTTACCAAAATCATTCAAGCGTGAAAGTCTGTATTAGCAAAATAGCTGCACGAGGGTTTCTGCAACTAACTTGTATCTTCACTTGAATTTCATAAACATCCAAATTGACAACTGTTCCTTAGATCCTTAGGACTTAGAAATCACTGAATCTTGCTATCTATCAACTTTATCATTATGCCCCAGCTGTCACAAGTACAGAGAGAAAGGGCTGTAGGCATGATCCAGGCTGGGGAGTCTCGCCGTCGAGTTGCACGGCATTTTGGTTGCAGTGTTAAGACAATTTGCCAGTTGGTAAGTCATTTAAACCATTGATACACTTGCAAAATCGATTCGTAACTGCAGTAGAGACTACAAGGACATTGTTTGGGCATCGTGTGTCTCCCTAAACAGTCTGCAACAGGTTGAGGGCCTACCAATTGAAAGCGCGGCATCCCTACACTGGACCCAATTTGTTGCAACATCACCGTAATAATCGGCGTAACTGGACCCGTGTTCACCGTTGTTGGGCCTTACATTAATGTTTTCAGACGAGTCCAGGTCTTGTCTGTAACACAGTGACGGAAGACGCAGAGCGTGGAGGCAACGAGGGGAGCGTTTTGCAAATTGCTGTTTACTTCGCAAACGGTGGTCATACCCGTTACTAATGGTGTTACCTTTGAAATTGACCCCAACGTCATTTACAGTCGAATAAAATCAACTGAACGCAAAGATTTATAATGAACCATGACTGCAGTTTTATCAGAATTGATCAATTACTTTATTCGTACATGATTGGTAAGGATTTATGAAGGGGTTAATTAATTAATCACAGAATAAAGTAGTGTTACCTTTCTTTTTTTGTTTAGTGTATACTTTGATGTACCCTTATATATTCAGAAAATAAATAACCCATATCCCACAATAATCCATAAGTCATTTTAAAATTTACATCAACTTGGACAGAATCACACATTTTGTGATAAAACAGCACAAAATGATCAAAGATGTGCAAAAGCTAATTATGGCCAGTTTTCCTATCAAATACACATTATGCATGCATAGTATAATGTTGTGCAATCCCACAACAGTAACTAATATACATTGTGTTTTTTATACTGTAATTTAAAGAATATCACTGACATTCAATTGCTGAACTAAACTATCATTACTGTATGTTATTGACAGAGGTAAAAAAAAGAACCGTCTGCTGTATCGATCAAGTGCACAGCTATAGTTGATTGTACAGAACCTTAGAACACATACGTACCTGTACAGAACCTTAGAACACATACTTACCTGTATAGAATCTTAGAACACATATGTACCTGTACAGAACCTTAGAACACATATGTACCTGTACAGAACCTTAGAACACATACATACCTGTACAGAACCTTAGAACACATACTTACCTGTACAGGACCTTAGAACACATACATACCTGTATAGAACCTTAGAACACATACGTACCTGTACAGAATCTTAGAACACATATGTACCTGTACAGAACCTTAGAACACATATGTACCTGTACAGAACCTTAGAACACATACTTACCTGTACAGAACCTTAGAACACATACTTACCTGTACAGAACCTTAGAACACATATGTACCTGTATAGAACCTTAGAACACATACGTACCTGTACAGAACTTAGAACACATATACCTGTACAGAACACATACTTACCTGTACAGAACCTTAGAACACATACATACCTGTACAGAACCTTAGAACACATACATACCTGTATAGAACCTTAGAACACATACTTACCTGTACAGAACCTTAGAACACATATGTACCTGTACAGAACCTTAGAACACATACATACCTGTACAGAACCTTAGAACACATACATACCTGTACAGAACCTTAGAACACATATGTACCTGTACAGAACCTTACAACACATACGTACCTGTACAGAACCTTAGAACACATACTTACCTGTACAGAACCTTAGAACACATATGTACCTGTACAGAACCTTAGAACACATACATACCTGTATAGAACCTTAGAACACATACATACCTGTATAGAACCTTAGAACACATACATACCTGTATAGAACCTTAGAACACATACGTACCTGTACAGAACCTTAGAACACATACATACCTGTATAGAACCTTAGAACACATACATACCTGTATAGAACCTTAGAACACATACATACCTGTATAGAACCTTAGAACACATACATACCTGTATAGACACATCAGCACATAGTTTACATAAACAACAGGAGAATTCTACATTGAAGACAACATTGTCGCCATCATCTAAAATCAGGTATCTTGGACAGCAACAGGCTCGACTGAAAAAATAGAGAAAAGATTTACAAATTAAAACATTTAAGTATCTTGTAGTTTCTTTTTATTCACTTTATAAAAAAAAAAAAAACAAATAATTATGAAGACTTCTAGAATCTTACATAAATCATGTCTGTTGAAAGGATACCCCAACTCCAGGGTGATTGTACAGGTTTGGCTGGTCAGCATGAAACACGTTTGATCATATTTCTTAAATACTTCTAAAATAGTTATACATTATAAGTTGTGAAACATTTTCATCCCACCATCATCTATATCCATGAAATGAACATAGAAAATGATGACTTTACCAATTTGTGATATGGTTAAACAACATAAAATGATGCAATCCTATCATAAGAAAGGTCAAAGTGCATAGCAGCTGTCTTTCTCTTCCCTGTGTGAGGTAAGAGTCATCCTCTCTGTAGCAACGATGGCATCAGTAAGTAAGGATGTAAGAACACAACTGTTTATGTGTTCAATCTCCAAACAGTAATTTGCAATCTTCATTGCAATAAAAACCTGACAGAGTTTGAAGTATCCTAACTTTTATAACAGCTATATTGTACACACAGTAACATAGGAGAAGTAAGACTAGGAACCCCTATATGGATATATGTTCAAGTTAAGGAGTTTGAAAATGTATAATGTCATAATAGCAGATATACTATTTTTAGCAGATATGGAGCTGCATTTTATGTACCTTTGGGAAGTGAAGTAGAAAATTTTGTGCTGATGAAGCCAGGGACGGTGAAACCGGTCGACAAGTACTTTAATTTTAAACATACCCACTTCCTTGGCTGTCGTGATTGATATCCTTACCCAGTAACAAAAATTATCAATCCTTCCAGACTTACACTGTAGTCGAGGCGAACAAAACATTGATCAAGGTTAATAAATCTAAACTATAAAAATGTGGGAAACAGATCCAGTTGCCAAACAAATACATCACAAACATTCGCATTCCAAATGCTCATTTTTTTTTCAAAAATTCTTTCTTATGTAAATAAAACTCACTTACTCTTCTACTATACGTCCAATTGGATTTCCTGGTGGACTCTCGATCGAGAGTTCCTGAACACAGCAACACCACCACCAACAGATTCCACATGGACACCGTAGAGGGCGCTGTAGTTTCATCACATCCTGCATCTCTGCATTACTGAATTTCATAACAAAACCTCGCACTGCTCCCAAACACTGGCGTAAATAACATTCTGAAACTGAATTGTAAAAAAATGTTTTTTTAACATTGAAAATATTGACCATATCCAATACCATTAACTAACCATTAATTCCTGTGTTAAATATCTCACACCATGTACTGGGCCAAGTTATCAAATATTTTACAGTATGGTGTACACTGGTACTAAGGAAAATCAAAGTGGATCACTAGAGTTTGGCATTTTTATATCAGGAGGAATTCTGACAACTGACCTTGACAAAAATATATCACAGCTAGATAGGCAGATCCCTTGGGACTTGATACACTGGTAATTTGAGCACATATTGTTCAAATATCTGTAGTCTGGTTCACAGGATCTTAAAAAAATCCCAAAACCACAGTCCACATATGTGTTATGGTATAATTCATATGTGGATTACAGGTTGGAAATTTGTACCTAGTCCATATGATCTGGTGTAGGGATCATAAGTAACTCAGACTACACTGGCATTGTAAACATTGTATGGTCAAATGTCTACTGTCAGGTGTTAGGAGGCTACACTGGTATTGTAAACATTGTATGCTCAAATGCCTACTGTCAGGTGTTAGGAGGCTACACTGGTATTGTAAACATTGTATGCTCAAATGTCTACTGTCAGGTGTTAGGGTCACTGGTATTGTAAACATTGTATGCTCAAATGTCTACTGTCAGGTGTTAGGAGGCTAGGCTACACTGGTATTGTAAACATTGTATGGTCAAATGTCTACTGTCAGGTGTTAGGAGGCTACACTGGTATTGTAAACATTGTATGGTCAAATGTCTACTGTCAGGTGTTAGGGTCAGAGGAAACTCAGGCTACACTGGTATTGTAAACATTGTATGGTCAAATGTCTACTGTCAGGTGTTAGGAGGCTACACTGGTATTGTAAACATTGTATGGTCAAATGTCTACTGTCAGGTGTTAGGGTCAGAGGAAACATTGTATGGTCAAATGTCTACTGTCTGTTACACTGGTATTGTAAACATTGTATGGTCAAATGTCTACTGTCAGGTGTTAGGAGGCTACACTGGTATTGTAAACATTGTATGCTCAAATGTCTAAACACTGGTATTGTAAAGTATGGTCAAATGTCTACTGTCAGGTGTTAGGAGGCTACACTGGTATTGTAAACATTGTATGCTCAAATGTCTACTGTCAGGTGTTAGGAGGCTACACTGGTATTGTAAACATTGTATGCTCAAATGTCTACTGTCAGGTGTTAGGAGGCTACACTGGTAACTTGTAAACATTGTATGCTCAAATGTCTACTGTCAGGTGTTAGGAGGCTACACTGGTATTGTAAACATTGTATGCTCAAATGTCTACTGTCAGGTGTTAGGGTCAGGCTACACTGGTATTGTAAACATTGTATGCTCAAATGTCTACTGTCAGGTGTTAGGAGGCTACACTGGTATTGTAAACATTGTATGCTCAAATGTCTACTGTCAGGTGTTAGGGTCAGAGGAAACTCAGGCTACACTGGTATTGTAAACATTGTATGGTCAAATGTCTACTGTCAGGTGTTAGGAGGCTACACTGGTATTGTAAACATTGTATGCTCAAATGTCTACTGTCAGGTGTTAGGGTCAGAGGAAACTCAGACGACACTGGTATTGTAAACATTGTATACTCAAATGTCTACTGTCAGGTGTTAGGAGGCTACACTGGTATTGTAAACATTGTATGCTCAAATTTATACTGTCAGGTGTTAGGAGGCTGGTATTGTAAACATTGTATGGTCAAATGTCTACTGTCAGGTGTTAGGGTCAGAGGAAACTCAGGCTACACTGGTATTGTAAACATTGTATGCTCAAATGTCTACTGTCAGGTGTTAGGAGGCTACACTGGTATTGTAAACATTGTATGCTCAAATGTCTACTGTCTCAAATGTCTACTGTCAGGTGTTAGGAGGCTACACTGGTATTGTAAACATTGTATGCTCAAATGTCTACTGTCAGGTGCTAGGGTCAGAGGAAACTCAGACTACACTGGTATTGTAAACATTGTATACTCAAATGTCTACTGTCAGGTGTTAGGAGGCTACACTGGTATTGTAAACATTGTATGCTCAAATGTCTACTGTCAGGTGTTAGGGTCAGAGGATGCTCAAATGTCTACTGTCAGGTGTTAGGAGGCTACACTGGTATTGTAAACATTGTATGCTCAAATGTCTACTGTCAGGTGTTAGGAGGCTACACTGGTATTGTAAACATTGTATGCTCAAATGTCTACTGTCAGGTGTTAGGGTCAGAGGAAACTCAGACTACACTGGTATTGTAAACATTGTATGCTCAAATGTCTACTGTCAGGTGTTAGGAGGCTACACTGGTATTGTAAACATTGTATGCTCAAATGTCTACTGTCAGGTGTTAGGAGGCTACACTGGTATTGTAAACATTGTCAAATGTCTACTGTCAGGTGTTAGGAGGCTACACTCAAATGTCTACTGTCAGGTGTTAGGAGGCTACACACTGGTATTGTAAACATTGTATGCTCAAATGTCTACTGTCAGGTGTTAGGAGGCTACACTGGTATTGTAAACATTGTATGCTCAAATGTCTACTGTCAGGTGTTAGGGTCAGAGGAAACTCAGACTACACTGGTATTGTAAACATTGTATGCTCAAATGTCTACTGTCAGGTGTTAGGAGGCTACACTGGTATTGTAAACATTGTATGCTCAAATGTCTACTGTCAGGTGTTAGGGTCAGAGGAAACTCAGACTACACTGGTATTGTAAACATTGTATGCTCAAATGTCTACTGTCAGGTGTTAGGAGGCTACACTGGTATTGTAAACATTGTATGCTCAAATGTCTACTGTCAGGTGTTAGGGTCAGAGGAAACTCAGGCTACACTGGTATTGTAAACATTGTATGCTCAAATGTCTACTGTCAGGTGTTAGGAGGCTACACTGGTATTGTAAACATTGTATGCTCAAATGTCTACTGTCAGGTGTTAGGAGGCTACACTGGTATTGTAAACATTGTATGCTCAAATGTCTACTGTCAGGTGTTAGGGTCAGGTATTGTAAACATTGTATGAAATGTCTCAGACTGGGAAACTCAGGCTACACTGGTATTGTAAACATTGTATGCTCAAATGTCTACTGTCAGGTGTTAGGAGGCTACACTGGTATTGTAAACATTGTATGCTCAAATGTCTACTGTCAGGTGTTAGGGTCAGAGGAAACTCAGACTACACTGGTATTGTAAACATACTGTAAACATTGTATGCTCAAATGTCTACTGGGTGTTAGGGTAGGAAACTACACACTGGTATTGTAAACATTGTATGCTCAAATGTCTACTGTCAGGTGTTAGGAGGCTACACTGGTATTGTAAACATTGTATGCTCAAATGTCTACTGTCAGGTGTTAGGGTCAGAGGAAACTCAGACAACACTGGTATTGTAAACATTGTATACTCAAATGTCTACTGTCAGGTGTTAGGAGGCTACACTGGTATTGTAAACATTGTATGCTCAAATGTCTACTGTCAGGTGTTAGGAGGCTACACTGGTATTGTAAACATTGTATGGTCAAATGTCTACTGTCAGGTGTTAGGAGGCTACACTGGTATTGTAAACATTGTATGCTCAAATGTCTACTGTCAGGTGTTAGGGTCAGAGGTATTGTAAACATTGTATGCAAATGTCTACTGTCAGGTGTTACACTGGTATTGTAAACATTGTATGCTCAAATGTCTACTGTCAGGTGTTAGGTATTGTAAACAGGCTACTACACTGGTATTGTAAACATTGTATGCTCAAATGTCTACTGTCAGGTGTTAGGAGGCTACACTGTATGCTCAAATGTCTACAGGTGTTAGGAGGCTACACTGGTATTGTAAACATTGTATGCTCAAATGTCTACTGTCAGGTGTTAGGAGGCTACACTGGTATTGTAAACATTGTATGCTCAAATGTCTACTGTCAGGTGTTAGGGTCAGAGGAAACTCAGCTACACTGGTATTGTAAACATTGGTATTGTAAACATTGTATGCTCAAATGTCTACTGTCAGGTGTTAGGAGGCTACTGTCACTGGTATTGTAAACATTGTATGCTCAAATGTCTACTGTCAGGTGTTAGGGTCAGAGGAAACTCAGGCTACACTGGTATTGTAAACATTGTATGCTCAAATGTCTACTGTCAGGTGTTAGGAGGCTACACTGGTATTGTAAACATTGTATGCTCAAATGTCTACTGTCAGGTGCTAGGGTCAACAGTATGGAAATGTCTACAGACTACACTGGTATTGTACATTGTATGGTCAAATGTCTGGTATTGTAAACATTGTATGCTCAAATGTCTACTGTCAGGTGTTAGGAGGCTATTGTATGCTCAAATGTCTACTGTCAGGTGTTAGGGTAGGTGTTACACTGGTATTGTAAACATTGTATGCTCAAATGTCTACTGTCAGGTGTTAGGGTCACAGGCTACACTGGTATTGTAAACATTGTATGCTCAAATGTCTACTGTCAGGTGTTAGGAGGCTACACTGGTATTGTAAACATTGTATGCTCAAATGTCTACTGTCAGGTGTTAGGAGGCTACACTGGTATTGTAAACATTGTATGCTCAAATGTCTACTGTCAGGTGTTAGGAGGCTACACTGGTATTGTAAACATTGTATGGTCAAATGTCTACTGTCAGGTGTTACACTGGTATTGTAAACATTGTATGGTCAAATGTCTACTGTCAGGTGTTAGGAGGCTACACTGGTATTGTAAACATTGTATGCTCAAATGTCTACTGTCAGGTGTTAGGAGGCTACACTGGTATTGTAAACATTGTATGCAAATGTCAAATGTCTACTGTCAGGTGTTAGGAGGCTACACTGGTATTGTAAACATTGTATGCTCAAATGTCTACTGTCAGGTGTTAGGAGGCTACACTGGTATTGTAAACATTGTATGGTCAAATGTCTACTGTCAGGTGCTAGGGTCAGAGGAAACTCAGACTACACTGGTATTGTAAACATTGTATGCTCAAATGTCTACTGTCAGGTGTTAGGAGGCTACACTGGTATTGTAAACATTGTATGCTCAAATGTCTACTGTCAGGTGTTAGGGTCAGAGGAAACTCAGGCTACACTGGTATTGTAAACATTGTATGCTCAAATGTCTACTGTCAGGTGTTAGGAGGCTACACTGGTATTGTAAACATTGTATGCTCAAATGTCTACTGTCAGGTGTTAGGAGGCTACACTGGTATTGTAAACATTGTATGCTCAAATGTCTACTGTCAGGTGTTAGGAGGCTACACTGGTATTGTAAACATTGTATGGTCAAATGTCTACTGTCAGGTGTTAGGGTCAGAGGAAACTCAGACTACACTGGTATTGTAAACATTGTATGGTCAAATGTCTACTGTCAGGTGTTAGGAGGCTACACTGGTATTGTAAACATTGTATGGTCAAATGTCTACTGTCAGGTGTTAGGGTCAGAGGAAACTCAGGCTACACTGTTATTGTAAACATTGTATGGTCAAATGTCTACTGTCAGGTGTTAGGGTCAGAGGAAACTCAGACTCAGAAACTATACCATTAGATAGTGCTTACTTTCCCTGTTTTCAAATGTCCATCTACCTGTCAAATATCTTACAACTTGTATTGGGCCAAGTAAATTAATATGTTCATAGTCTGGCATTTTGGTAAAAAGAAGGACATTTATTTGTCCAATGCCAATGTCTATTAATGTAATGCTGGAAAATGAAAACAACACCAAGCAATTTTCAGTCAATATGTCTATAGTCTAGTTCTGGCCTCAAGTATGAAATTCAGGGCCATAGTAAATATCTGTACATAAAATGCTTTCCTTGTGAAGGCAACAATTTTCTTTTCAAACTTTGCTGATGAAAATTACACATACAAAAACCTCAATGAATCACCAAATTCAGTCTTGCTTTTTTTAATGATTTATATGTACTTCTGTGTGACAGTTTATCAGCAACAGATATTTAGACTTTTTTGGTCTTTTTCAATAATCCAATGAAGCATCATGTAAGTGTGCCAGTATTGAAATTCCAGTACAGTTTAGTTACCCTCTTGTGCATAAAGAAAATGGTCTTCATCCTCCTCTGATGTGTACAGGCTGTATCTACATGGACGCTGCCAACAAAGGACAGCTGAAAAACATATTTTGTAAAGTTATTAATGAAGCAAATTGTGATTAAAATATTTCAGTCGAAGAAATAAAAAAATACAAGATCCTTTATGATCTCTCAATATTGTTACTTATGATGTCAATGTTGGTAATCCCACATGTACATGTAACATATATTTAAAGGACAACATGAGTGTGTATGCTAAAATAGTTCTAATAAAAGAACAATTCATCTTTTAGAGACATGTTAATTTTTAAATTTGTAATTAACTGATAAACTACAAGTATGTTAATATAGTTTACACGTTTATTACACAAAAAAAACTTTATACATCTTCCTAACAATGTACCTTCTGCTACATCCAAACGCTGTTTAATAAAGACATTTTTGGCGTTGATCAGCTCTTTCAGACCTTGTGGAAATTCATCTTGTGTATCCTTAACTTCTTTTTCATGACCTTCATGCAATATTTGACCCTGTGGATTATCATGGTTGGGTTGTCCTGTGACTGTTTCCATGGTTACCAATAGAGCTGTAGACCATTAGTATGTAGAGTTGAAGTTTATTTTATACTGAGTAATTTAGTATCCATCTGTAAACAAACACTTGGTATGTTAAGAATTCGCTCATTTCCAACACATTGGTACACAATCAAGTCACTATTTATCAACCATCAAACTTGCATACACTGTGTATTTGCCTTCTTGTTCTTATTGACTAGATTACACTGATCACGATTATAATCTGTGTCAAACAGTGAACTCCACAGGTGAGGCATTCTAAAAATAGAATTATTTTTATTCATCCATGCATGCATTGTCACGTTGGTGTCAATAGATTATGAAGTGAATGGAATTGGCCACATATGTTGCCTTAAGCTATCACATTATGTATATAGTTCAGCGTAAAGGAATCAAACAACAGTTTTTAATAGATTGAAAAGTAACCCTTATATCAGTAATAATCTCGTATTTGAGGGATATATGTATATTTAGTTACTGCTCTGGCGAATCAGTTAGTTATTCAAATGCAATCTAGGGTCATTCTGAAATAGAGACAAATAATGTTAGTTTAAAAATCATAACAAAAAAGGGTGTCATCTTTCTAACATCACCCAATAGCCAATGTGACAATGTATATAGTAAAATAAAAAAATTTACATTTCTGTTATCTAATTTTACATTAAAATGACACTTTATACCAATTTGGTTCTCCATTAACCATTGACGAGTGTAACCAATGGCGGCCTTTCTTGCAAATGTCATAGGTGAGCATGAATTAATCTGTGTTCTATCAATAACCACACTATAGGCCGTTAATTATCAATGGAGGTGATAATGTTCGTGATTTCTACAACTTCGTTCACAACTGTTTGTGTAAAAATGTGCCCACATACAGTGTTCCTCTTCACCACACTCAACATTATATTGTTGTGGTTAAACGTTCATTTTCCGGTTAGTTTACACTAGCTCTTTAATTATATAAAATATCTTGATTTTCCCAAAACTTATCCAGTTTGTTTTTAAAAGTGTTTATATTTGGAGTAGATACAATGTCTTCTGTAAGATTGTTCCATGTTTTCCAAGTTCTTACAGCAAAACTATTTCCTCTTCTGTTGGTCCTGTGATGTTGGAGAATGAGCGTCAACCATTACTCAAAACGGTAACTTTTCTTCAAATGCAGGACTATTGCCCCATATGAGGGTTGTGCTCAACAAACCTGTCAAATGTTTTACGCCAAGATGTGTTTGCGAATGTTACATCGGCAAATGAAAATTAATAGATTGGTCATTTGTCGGTAGTGTAAAGGAAGTTTACGCTCATTTTAAGCTTGAGTTTCAGTATTTTCTCTTGAATCTAAGACAGACTGGTAAATAGTATAGTTTTGCATGACCTGATGCATGGGACTGACCAAACTGTCGAACCGCCTGCCTAATTAACGTACCCAATTAAGAATGTTCCCAGTGTCCCAGGGAAGCAATCAGTGGAAATACACTACATTAACCTTCCTAAAACTATCGGACATGTCGACGGCATGAAGTCATTATCGTCTTCATCGATACATCAATAATCATATTCGCCTAAAATCACTCCAACGATACGCTCCACAACAAACCGGAAATAAACACATAGCAATCACGTAATCATAAATGCAGCCAAGTACAACTTGTGAAAATCCGGCGCGACGAAATATCCAAAATATCATCAAAACTGACAAAAGTGACACTGACCGGATACCACTTACCAAAAACTCGTAAGATAAACGGCACCAAATGTGATGGATAGCACTGAAATTTACAACATTTGTGTTGAGTTTACACCGTTTTCATATCGGATATGGCTGTGTAGCGCTTATCTCCCCTACATCGAGATACAGAAACATTAGTTCCGTAATTCTCAAAGTAATTGCTTATGTCAATATTCAAATCTTAAAAAAAAACAAGAACCATCTGACTAAAATTGTTGTTATATGTCATGCACAAAGTGCATTTTATGTATCTCTTTATTTGATCCATAACTATTTTTTTCAGTATGAGACGATTTTTGAAACAGATATATAGTTTTTCATGTTTGTTGGTGAATATGATTTATTATTGAAAAAAACACAGTGAGATCAATTGAACTTTATAACATGGACGAGTCTAGTGTAGATGGCTATTTGTTTTTTTCCCTCGTCTAACATTTGCTCACGTGCCACTATCGTTTGTAAAATGGCACAAAGCCTAGATTGCCCAAAAGTAAAAACAAGTCAGTGGACTTAAGCCCATGTTTTCTCCCAATAAACTGCCCGAGTCTGATAAATGGACATGGTTATTAAGGCTGTAGCCTTGTGGAAGCCTGCCCATCCTAATCGTTTGATTACTCCAGGAAGAAGTGGACTTAATCGTGAGTTTCGTAACCCAGAGAAATATCTTTTATCACTGTGTTAATTACATTTATCCAAAAGTCACTCATCCTCTTTACATCCAGAAAACTTATAGAATTGACCTGATTATTATTCTAGAATATATCCCGTCATTAGCATTTAACAATGAAATATCACCTGCATCTCCCATTATGCTTAAAAAACCCGAACACATGTCAATTATATCTGTCATACATGCATATATATTTTTTAGATGTAAGCGATGTATTCCGTGTAGGTATCTGTCTGTCACCCATGACCTGTCAATGTGGTGAGGGAATACAATGTTTATCATTATTTTTTTTTCCTCTGCTCGATTTGTTAATTCGCGAATAGCATCCTACAATGATCTTGTGAATACTCCGTCGGTCCTTCATCTAAATATCCCCCTCCCCCTCTCCAGTCCTTTTTTCTCCCCCTTGTACTTGCTATTTTTCCCCTTTCCGGTATTGCGTACCAATATTTTTTTTATCTATTGTTAAGACGATATCTGTAGTAGAATCGCATATCACACAATCGGGCATAGTAAATTGTAAAAAAAAATGTCCAATACATTTGATTATTTCTTTAATAAGTGTATTTCAATTATTACATTGGAATGTAGTTACCGGTACAGTGGACACGAATATAAATTATTTGAGGCGACTCTTTACAAAACAGACAAATATTTCACATGTGTGGATGTTTGAAGGACTCAGTGAGGGCTTGTATGTGTGTTAGTGTGTATGTGTGTGGGTGTGGTGGTGGTGGTGATGGTGTGTGTGTGTGTGTGTGTGTAGGGTGTGTGTGGTGGTGGTGGTGGTGTGAACAATGTTATCTTTTAAGACACCCATTTCTCTAATTGGAAAACTTCATTTTTTAACTATCATCAGCTCGCGCACTTGTGTCAAATAGCTGTCAAGCACTTTTGACGGAAAAACACGAAACGTTTCCGCTTGGAAGTCACAACGACGTGGGCGTTGATTGTATATTTTGAATGAGCAATTATTTTCTATTTTTGACACGATTGGCAGATTAACTAAACATTTAAATGTAGAACTTGAACCATAAAGAGAAGACTGTAATTTTTTACACAATGGTGATCAGTATGGCGTCTTGTTATGTTATTCTCGTATATGAAACATGTGTAAGATGTGAGTCACGATTTGAATGTATCAAACGAAATGTGTTTTTTCTTTGTTTCTATTAAATAATAAATAATATTAATGAGTTTTTAATCGTATAAAAAGAGTTGTTACGATCGGAGTGCGCATGCTCGAGGACGAGGACCGCAGAAGCTCAAGAGTGTTCCTTTCCTAACTCATTCATTCATTCATTTTATTGACTTTACCTTACAGTACACACACGCACCTACACACATATATATATATTTGAAAATGATAAAAATCAACACAATAAATGTATTCCGCTAAAGTTTTCAGGCCTAACGGCTATCTTCAGGCGATTCGTTTATCATAATATCTTGGTAACGCCCGTTTTATTCTTTTCAAATATTTTATCGATACACAACGCACCTAAAAATTACACATATATATATGTGTGTGTGTGTGTGTGTGTGTGTGTGTGTGTGTGTGTGTGTGTGTGTGTGTGTGTGTGTGTGTGTGTGTGTGTGTGTGTGTGTGTGTGTGTGTGTGTGTGTGTGTGTGTGTGTGTGTGAGGGTGTGTGTGCGTGTGTGTGTGTACAATACTTAATACTTAAGTTTTAACAATTAAAATATATGACAACTTATAGTATATACTGAAAACATTGATAACGCACAAATCTGACATAATTTACAGGATTTTCCAAGCAGGCTTACATGATTAAGGTCTTGCACGTTTGATCACATTCCTCTATAGGAGTTTGGATTCTTACTCAACTGTGGCAAAATTAGGCAGATTAGCAGTGTTCAATACACGTAGTTTTAACCTATAACTTTTTCTGATAAACAGTCAGATCTGCTCTGTGGTGTCAGATATAACACAGAAATGGACGCCATCGTCAATTTGTTAATGGTTTCTGTGCCCATTATGATTATTTAGATAATACTTCTTCTTTCACATTCCAATCTTCTATATGTGTGTATTATCATAATTTTTCGTCTCGATAATCCAAATTTTTAGCCAATTAAATCTGTTAAGTCCCATGAATCGTGGTATTTCGATTCACTTGTCTTAGCTAATCACCTTCATTTTATTTCGTTACTAATTGTTTTTAAACTCCGACCAAGCATAATTTCGCCCGTCATCATTTCCTAGATCCTTACAGTTTTCTTTATTTCTACCCTCCACCTACAACTACAACGTACATCGCACCTCTAATCACAACTGTTGGATTGGATATTTTTGTAAAGATGATGATGATGATGATGATGATGATGATGCATGTTACACATTCTTATGTATGTATATTACATACCCCCCCCTACATAAAAAAAAACACACACACACATTCCAACTTTCAATTTTAGTATGATATGTTCAGTGCTGTGTTTTTTAATGAATGACATTTGAATTAAAATTAGATGAGTGAAAAACTCTTTATCACGAATTTATATATTTTGATATTGAAATAAAAAGGATGAGTATAAACGTTTTGTATATTGTTTTACTGTGCTTTTTTATTTCAATATTGCTGTTAAAGGGAGAATATTTATATTTTGGTGAAATATTTGTCCAATGCATTTTAGTAAAAAATTTATAAGAGAATATCATAAATTCACCCTTATATACATATATCATGTAAACTATACTGATTTTTATGAAAGAGACTATACTTTTAGGGCAATTAAAATCCATTGTTTTGAAACACACACCAGTTCCTTCTAGCCCACATTTTTTACCTGTAAAAATAGAATGTGGGCTGAGTGGGAATACAGGACGGGAGAAGTCGTTGAGACAGAAAACCTGTCAATCAGTCAATCAATCACTAATGACACACGTCGCCAGAACACTGACATTCGTCGGTGAGACGATACCCGAACACGGTAGGAGTCAAGGAGACGGAAAACCTGTCAATCAGTCAATCAACCACTAATAACACACGTCGCCAGAACACTGACATTCATCGGTGAGACGATACCCGAACACGGTAGGAGTCAAGGAGACGGAAAACCTGTCAATCAGTCAATCAACCACTAATAACACACGTCGCCAGAACACTGACATTCGTCGGTGAGACGATACCCGGACACGGTAGGAGTCAAGGAGACGGAAAACCTGTCAATCAGTCAATCAACCACTAATAACACACGTCGCCAGAACACTGACATTCGTCGGTGAGACGATACACAGACACGGTAGGAGTCAACCAACCAACATCACATCTTTGATCTAATTTATCATAGTTCTAGACACTCGTCCTTTTGTATCACATTTTGAAAAAAAAAATCGACAAAATTTTGAATAATTCTGTACCTAGACAAGGGACGACGCCTCTCAGCTATCATATTCCAGCCGTATACTTTGACCTACTTTTTTAAGTAGTACACGTGACTTGTTCTACAATTTTAATATGAATTCTTTTGTTCTACATATATAAAAGAGAAAACGGTTAAGCATTTAGGAGTTTAGGTAAATGGGTGAGAGATATATAAATATATCTTACTTACGTCACGGGTTATTAAAAATCCAAGGTTAACTACCTCCTTAAGGTCATTACCATGATACGATACACTGTGAAAAGGTTATATATCTAACCATTATCACACAGAGATAATTATTTTAATGCATTCTGAGTGACGGGCAGGCTATATTTAGTAAACAGTAAATAATCATGTTTCTAAATTGCTTACACAGTTTTTTTTCTCATATACCTGTATATTGTAGAAGGATTAATACCAATGCTTTGTTATCATATAGGTCATGTTTAAAACAATGCTTACTACATCTCAGGTATACGTCATATTTACAAAATGATGATAATAAATAATCTGCGCACATGGTATGTTGCATCGATATCTTGTACTAAGAGTTTTCATCCAAAATAAACTTTTCTTATAAAGTATAAAATGACACAGACATTACTGAATTTACCACACACACATATATATATATATTTGTTTGTCATGTTAAGTCATTAATTTTCTCTCTCTCTCTCTCTCTCTCTCTCTCTCTCTCTCTCTCTATATATATATATATATATATTCCACATACATTATGCTAACGAGGCATGCATATTGATGTTACAAAAACCCTTGAAGACCGGCGGTTGTTGATGACTTCTATAAATGTGAACCCCTGTGTAGACCGGCGGTTGTTGGTGAGATGTAAACCCTGTATAGACCGATGGTTATTGGTGAGATGTGAACCCCTGTATAGACCGATGGTTGTTGGTGAGATGTGAACCCCTGTATAGACAGATGGTTGTTGGTGAGATGTGAACCCTGTATATATATCGATAGTTGTTGGTGGGTTGTGAAATCCTGTATAGACCGGCGGTTGTTGGTGAGATGTGAACCCCTGTATAGACATATGGTTGTTGGTGAGATGTGAACCCTGTATAGACCGGCGGTTGTTGGTGAGATGTGAACCCCTGTATAGACAGATGGTTGTTGGTGAGATGTGAACCCAGTATAGACCGGCGGTTGTTGGTGAAATATGAACCCCTGTATAGACCGGCGGTTGTTGGTGAGATGTGAACCCTGTATAGACCGATGGTTGTTGGTGAGATGTGAACCCTGTATAGACCGATGGTTGTTGGTGAGATGTGAACCCTGTATAAACCGATGGTTGTTGGTGAGATGTGAACGCTGTATAGACCGATGGTTGTTGGTGAGATGTGAACCCTTGTATAGACCGATGGTTGTTGGTGAGATGTGAACCCTGTATAGACCGATGGTTGTTTTTGAGATGTGAACATCTGTATAGACCGATGGTTGTCGGTGAGATGTGAACCCCTGTATAGACCGGCGGTTGTTGGTGAGATGTGAACCTCTGTAAAGACCGATGGTTGTTGGTGAGATGTGAACCCTGTATAGACCGATGGTTGTTGGTGAGATGT